CTGAAACGTTGGGGTGCGGAGAGAGGGCCCAGGACAAAGAAAAAGAGACCATCAGTCACTGGGCATCGGTGGCCACAGCCGTCCGTATCGGCCGCCCAGCTGAGCTGTGCGGCCACGTTCGTTGCCTTCCCTTCAGCCTTGTTTTATAGCAATGTCACAGCAGAGGGACAACAGAGGCACAACAGAGGGCTTGACACCTGTGGCGAGAGTCAGCACCACAGAGGGCTCTGGACGTGAACAACACACGCCCTGACATAGAGTCCGAGGTTCCCAGTCTTTGCGTGAAGTCTAGACACCCGGGCCCAGGGTGAGAGCACAGAGCGGAGGTCATTGCTGATCCGAGTTGGACAAGGTTGATCCGAGTTGGACCCCCTAGCGCAGCTCGGGGCCCCCCCGAGTCCTGCCAGGAGTAATTCCTGAGAGCAGAGCCAGAAATAAGGCCTGGGCCCTGCTGGGTGTGGTCTGAAAGGTAAGGAAAGGATGGAAGGGAAGGAGGGAGGAAGGATGGAAGGGAAGAAGGAAGGAAGGAAGGAAGGAAGGAAGGAGGGAGGGAGGGAGGGAGGGAGGGAGGGAGGGAAGGAAGGAAGGAAGGACGGAGGGAGGGAGGGAGGGAGGGAAGGAAGGAAGGACGGAGGGAAGGAGGGAGGGAGGGAGGGAGGGAGGAAGAAAGAAGGGAAGGAAGGAAGGAAGGAAGGAAGGAAGGAAGGAAGGAAGGAAAGAAGGAGGGAGGGAGGGAGGAAGGAAGAAAGGAGGGAAGGAAGGAGGGAAGGGGAGGAAGGAAGGAAAGGAAGGAAAGGGAGGGAGGGAGGGAAGGAGGAAAAGGAGGAAAGGGAAGGAAAGGAAGAAGGAAAGAAGAAAGGAAGGAAGGAGTGAGAGAAGGAAGGAAAGAAGGGAGGGAGGAAGGAAGGAGGAAAGGGAAGGAAAGGAAGAAAGAAGGGAGAAAAAGAAGACAGGAAAATGAAATAGGAAGGAAGGAAGGAAGGACGGAATGGGAGAGTGAAAAAAAGAAAGGAATGAAAGAATGAATGAATGAATGAATGGATGAACTAATGAAAATCAGACTGAAGCCAAGGGAGGCAGGGAAGATAGCAAAAGAGGGAGGAATAAAGAGAAAGAAGAAAGGAAGAGAAGGAAGGAAATAGGAAGGAAGAAAGAAAGGAGGGAGACAAGAATGAGGAAGGGGAAAGAGGGAGATACAAAGAAGAAGGAAGGAAGGAGGAAGGAAGGAGGGAGGGAAGGAAGGAGGGACGGAAGAAAAAGAGAAGGAAGGAAGAAGGAAGGAAGGAAGGAGGGAGGGAGTGAAGGAAGAAAATAAGGGAGGAGGGAAGGAGGGAGAGAAGGAAGGAAAGAAGGGAGGGAGGGAGGAAGGAAGGAAGGATGAAAAGAAGGAAAGGGAAGGAAAGGAGGGAAGGAAGAAAGAAGGAAGGAAGGGAAGGTGGGAGAAAGGAAAGGAGGGAAAGACAGGAAAAGAGAAGAAAAAGGAAGGAAAGAAGGAAGGAAGGAAGGAAGGAAGGAAGGAAGGAAGGAAGGAAGGAGGGAAGGAAGGAAGGAAGGAGGGAGGGAGGGAGGGAGGGAGGGCGGGAGGAGAGAAAGGGAGAAAGAGAGAAACAAAGGAAGGAATGAAAGAACAAATGACTGAACTAATGAAAACCAGACCGAAGCCAAGGGAGGCAGGGAAGATAGGAACAGAGGGAGGAATGAAGGGAGCAAAAGAGAAAAGGAAGAGAAGGAGGTAAGGAAATAGGAAGGAATGAAGGGAGGATCTAAGAAGGAAGGAGAAAGTCAGAGAAACTAAGGAAGGAACAAAAGAATGAATGAACTAACAAAAAGGGAAGGAAGGAAGGAAGGAAGGAAGGAAGGAAGGAAGGAAGGAAGGAAGGAAGGGAGGGAGGGAGGGAGGAGGGAAGGAAGGAGGAAGGAAGGAAGGGAGGGAGGGAGGGAAAGAAGGAGTGAGAATGGGAGAAGAAGGAGAGGAGAGCATCACTTTCCCCGCCCTCCCCCAGCGGCTGACCCAGGAGAGGCACCGGCGGCTGCAGGTGTCTGTCCCAGGAGCCCAGAGCTGCGTGCTCAAGCCCTGCGGAGCTGTGGGCGGCGACGGTCATTAGGACCCTTTTATTGGAGTCCAGCAAGGGCACCCGCCCGCCCCGGGGCTGCCGTAGACCCTCAATTTACCGCAAACCGCGGCGGGTGCTGCCAAGGTTTCACCTGGGGGTGTGGCGGTCCCACCCCTGACACATGACGCTTCCCCGTAATGAATAGCAGCATCGGACAGTTTATGGGGCTCTGGTGTGTCCCCCAGACAGACAGACAGACACACACACACACACACACACCCTTGTCCCGGGCGCCCTGCCCTCACGGGGCTCTGACAGCTAAGGAGCCGAACTTTATGGGGCAGGGACTGGGGGGTCAGAGGGGTGAAGAGACTTTCACGAGGCCGGAGAGGGCGTGGGGATGGGCCCTGGCTCGCAGGGGCGTGTCTGTGCGTGCGTGTGTGTTCCCCGGACACGCCACAGCTCTTGGAAAGGAGGGAGACAGAAGAAGAATGAGGAAGGGGGAAAGAGGGAGATACAAAGAGGGAGGGAGGGAGGGAGGGAGGGAGTAAGGAAGGAAGGAAGGAAGGAAGGAAGGAAGGAAGGAAGGAAGGGAGGGAGGGAGGGAGGAAGGGAGGGAAAGAAGGAAACAAGAAAGGAAGGGAGAAATGAAGGAAGGAAGGAAGGGAGGAAGGAAGGAAGGAAGGAAGGGAGGGAGGGAGGAAGGAAGGAAGGAAGGAAGGGAGGGAGGGAGGGAAAGAAGGAAAGAAGAAAGGAAGGAAGGGAGAAATGAAGGAAGGAAGGAAGGAAGGAAGGGAGGGAGGAAGGAAAGAAGGAAGGAAGGAAGGAAGGAAGGAAGGAAGGAAGGAAGGAAGGAAGGAAGGGCAAAGGAAGGAAGGAAGGAAGGGAGGGAGGGAGGGAAAGAAGGAAAGAAGAAAGGAAGGAAGGGAGAAATGAAGGAAGGAAGGAAGGAAGGAAGGGAGGGAGGAAGGAAAGAAGGAAGGAAGGAAGGAAGGAAGGAAGGAAGGAAGGAAGGAAGGAAGGGCAAAGGAAGGAAGGAAGAGAGAAGGGGAAGAAGGAAAGAAGGAAGGGAGGAAGGAAGGAAGGAAGGAAGGGAGGGAGGGAGGGAGGGAGGAAGGAGGAAAGGAAGGAAGGAAGGAAGGAAGGAAGGAAGGAAGGGAGGGAGGGAGGGAGGGAGGGAGGGAGGGAGGGAGGGAGGGAGGGAGGAAGGAAGAATCAGCAACATAGACTGGAGATTGGGAGAGACACTTGCCTTGTAGGGAGGTGACTCTGGTTCGATGTCAGGGACCCCAATGGGAAAGGAAGGGGAGGGGAGGGGAGGGGAGGGGAGGGGAGAGGAAGAGGAGGGGAGGGAAGAAAAGAAAAGAAAAGAAAAGAAAAGAAAAGAAAAGAAAAGGGAAGAAAAGGGAGGGGAGGGGATGCACCGCAATGGAACAGAGAGCCGGGAGTCAGCCCTGAACACAGAGTCCGCAGTGAGCCCTGTGCACTGCCAGGTGTGGCCCCCTCCACCACACACACACACACACACACACACACACAAATCTTTTACAACTTTTCCAACCCACGTCCATCTTGTTCGGCGATCGCCTCATCCCATCGGGGAGACGGAGAGAGGAGAGCCAGGCGGGAGGTTAAGACGCTTCCCTTGAGACGCAGTTCCAGCCCTGGCTCCTGGAGGCTCCCAGGGGCTGCTCTGAGCTGCAGAACTTGGGAAATCACTCCCAGGTGAGGATCCAAACCAACAAGCAAAAAAAAAGGAACAGGTTCCTTCTGGGCAAGGGGGGAGGTGGTGGTTGGACCCATTGATCTTTGGCCGCCTTTGATGGCTGCGCCCTGTAATTTTATAGAAGCATCTCTGTGCCCTGGGCCCATTAATTAGCCTTTCATCCAGACGGAGTGATGCAAGCCCGTCTCGCACCTTTGGCTTGGCCGCCAGCCCTCACAGCAAGGAGAGTCATAGCATGGCGCAGGTTTAAGACTCAAGTTATGGGACCAAGCCCGTGCGTTGGGGGTCAGCTCATAGACGCTCCCTCCAGCCGGGCTGTAGATGAGAACATTGGTCCTTCCTGCAACGTTCACCCAACGGGACACAGTGCAATACAGGTACTAAAGGCTACCAGGTATCCCATTCCCTCCTTCCAACACTCAACTCTTGTCCACAGTGACCATCGCCAACTACCATTGTCACAGTGGTCCCTTCTCTATCCTAACTGCCCTTCATCTCGGACCCTTGGACACACAAGATTTCAGCCACGGACAGGTCCTCCTCACTCTTGTTTTGATGATTGAGGGCAGTATTCTCATACTATGATCTTTTTTTAATATCTAGAAAATGAGTAAAATTATTATTATTTTGGCTTTTTGAGTCACATCCAGAGATGCTCAGGGGTTCCTCCTGACTCTGCACTCTGGAACTACTCCTGGCGGTGCTTGGGGGACCCTATGGGATGCCGGGGATCGAACCCGGGTCGGCCGCGTGTAAGCCAACGCCCAACCTGGACGCTATGGGATGCCAGGGATCGAACCAGGGTCGGCCACGTGCAATGCCTACGCCCTACCTGCTGGGCTATTGCTCCATTGCCCGAGGGAAATGATCTTAGTGTCTCTCTCTCTCTCTCTCTCTCTCTCTCTCTCTCTCTCTCTCTCTTTCTCTCTCTCTCTCTCTCTCTCTCTCTCTCTCTCTCTCTCAGATTCATTTCATCAGCTTGATTGATACTCTCCATGTCCATTTTTTTCCTAAGCAAATTTCAGGCTCCGAGGTGAGATCGAATCCCGGGCATGAAAACTTGATCTACACATGGACCATTCGGGAACAAACTCATCCCCCCCCCCCAATTACTCTCCTTGACAGAGAGGGGAGGGAGGGGTTGGATGATGGAATTACGAAAGGATAGATACAAACGGGCATAATAATTGATCGATACACAGGTGGGTGAATGCAGGTAG